CACCTGCCCTCCATGAAGCAGGACTGGTGATTGCCTTGGCTGTCAGGGATCACGAAATGTTCCACAGGGTCTTATGGCCCCACCCCCACGATAACTGGACCGTGTTCTCTCTCCCTTGGATCCATCCCCCCCCCAAAATTTGTCGGGGGCCCTGGGCTGGGTGCTGAGAGTACAGGCCACTGCCTGGAGCTAGTCATGGCCACACTTACGGGCATGGAAGGCTTCCTGGAGGAAGAGAGCCTTGAAGGGGACTGGTTCAGGGGCTGGGGGCAGGCAGAAGGAACTCAGGAGCACAGGCACTGCCCTGTATCTCAAGGATGTTCTTGAGGCACCCCCCAAAGGGACCAATGCCCTGGGAATGAATGCCACCCCCTCCCCTAGTTTCACTGCCCCACCCCGGTTGAGCAGCCCTCTCCCGGATCCAGGCCTCAGGAGCAGCTGGGGGCCCCTGAAGGCATGGGCCTGACTCTGCTCATTCCAAGTGGTCATCCCTACCTGAGCCCCTCTGTAGGCCGGGAGAGGGCGGGACACAAGCCAGGTACCTCCACACAGAGACCCCACCAAATAAGGGCCTGCAAGCTGTGTTAGGAGAACCCCTTCCTCCCTGTAGGGGCCGGGGGTTCACTGTGGAGGTCCTACCTTTACTCTGGCCTGGAGCAGGCACTCTAGGCCCCAGGAGGGAAGAGGAGCCCCCCCAGTTCCAGGGGTCCAGGGCTCCATCCCTGGCTGTCCCTGCCCATGCCCACTGCCCCACTATCCATGGAGGCCCTGGGCACCTCTGTCCCACACTCAGCCAAGCACTGAACGAGGCAGACAGTCCCTGCTCACCCTCAGAGGCTCCCGGTCAGGGGTAGACAGAGGACTTACACCGATAATGTAGTGACAAACTGCAAGGGTGAGGAAGGTGGCAACCCAGGGAGGGGCTGAGAAGACAGAGGACAGACAAGGGTCATCCAGGTGAGCAGCTGTGATGGCACATGCAAAGGCCCTGGGGCCAAGGGAGCCTGACCCCAGTGAGGGCCTGTGAGAGAGAGACAATGGCCAAGGGAGAGGGGGTAAGGGGCATAGGTGAGGCTGGGGGTGGGGGGCACCAGGCTGAGCTAGGCCTCCCCGACTATAGTCTTCCTGCTAAGACCAACGGGAAGTCACAGAAAGCAGCTGAGCTGGGTTGGGCTCCATGTGGTGACTTGTATTTTCAGAAAGATCCCTGGCTGCGGGGGAGGGGCAGCAGGGGTGAGGCCATAGGTAGCCACTGCCACAGTGCAAGTGAGAGGGGCCAGTGGCCCGGTGGGGCCTGGAGGTGGAGGGACTGAGGACCGAAGAATTCCAGTCCCCTGTGGGCCCCTCCCTCACCCCCCTCCAGAGCTTTCTGCTCCAGGCCAGCTGGGGGAGGAAAGGACGGCCTAGGCTGTGACCCCATCCAGAAGCCCGTGTCTCAGCCAAGGCTCTTTCTCTGCTGGGAGGCACCAGCGATGGACGCTCACTGCATCCCAAGATCCAAGCTCAACCTGTCAGGAGACGCAGCCTCCCTGGGGCCTACCCTGCCTCGGGAGCACAGGGAGCCCCTGCCTGCCCTGCAAAGCTAGGGAGACGTGACCTGGCCTGTCTGCCTCCCTCCAGACCCTTTGGGAGTGGGACCGAGGTCCCCTTGGCCAGGGCAGCTGGGTAAGCATCAGGGCAGTACTGGGGTCAGCAGACCCAGGACACCTGTCTACGGGGCAGGCTTTCTGCCTCCCTGCCCCGGGTGCCATCCTGCAGGACACAGAAGCCTCCTCCTGCTCACTGTCCCCTTTCTTCTCCTGCCCCCTAGGAGCCACATCCTGGACCCAATGGTGCCCAAGAAAGGTTCAAGTCAGGACAGTGGCCTCTTCGGGGGAGGAATGGGTACTGGAGGCTGCTAGGAAACAGGGACCCCTCCCTCCGAGGTGCTCCTGCAAGGATTTCTACAGCCTTGGCCCAGAAGGCTGGAGATCCAGTGGGAGTCAGGGCTCCTGCCTCTACCTTCGCAGGGCGAAGCTGCCCTGCCTCTTCCAGGAAGGCCCCCATCATTGTTCTGGGGTCCACTGAGCCACAGCACCCCTCAGATCCCAGTTCCATGGGGCCCCTAGCATGAGGACTCCCACTCTGAGCCCCCAGCCCCAGGGGCCCTCCTGGGTGTGCTCTGAGGTGACTGCTCAGCTTGTGCTGGACACGGCTCGGTGGGTTTGGGAGTCACTCAGCCTGGCCATGGGGCTTCAGGGCCAGGCTAGGGTGCAGGCTGCCCGGGGTTTGGACAGAGCCTGCTGGGCTCAGGAGTGAGCTGTGCTTCCGCCCAGTCTGTGGTGCTAAATATAGAGGCCAGGGAGGGGAGTTTCCGGTTACAGCCCCCCCCCCCCC